TGACAGAAACTCAGTTTTCCAGGATTTCAAGAACATGACTATTCAGGATTAATTCCTCCAGGACTTCCAGGACTGCTGTTTGACCTGGAAATATGGTTTTCCATTTCCAGGACCCTTCCGTTACCATGCTCTGTTATTAAAGGAACAGTCCGTAGAAAAAAGCAGCAGAAATAAAAATCTGTTTGGTCCTTGAAGGCCACCGTAGCCTCCTGACGGGAGCGGTTGGCGAGGAAGAGTTCCATTCTAGAATCTTCTCACCCTTTGATGTTTGGATATTCTCATTGTTCTTTTCATGGAGGATTCTCAAGGCCTTACAGACAGCCTTGAAAAGTCTCATGATAGTTTCCAGGTTTTCCAGGAGTTCAGATGTGAGCTTCATCACTTTCCAAACCTCCTCCTCCTCCTCCATGAGTGACAGGACTAAAGATAACAGGGGGGCCATGTGGGGTCCTGGGGGCCGTCAGGGGTCACATGACCCACATGAGGGGGTCACCGTGTGTGTTCATGTGTGTGTGTGTGTGTATAGATGTGTGTGTATCTGACAGGCGTCACCTCTCACATCAGGAAACACAAAGCAGACGCAGCCTCTCATTGTTTGTCTCAGAGGCGGGAGGCAGATCAGGAGGGGCGGGGTCAATGACGAGGGCGGGGTGAGGGAGATAAAGGAGGAGGGGCCGCTTTGATTGACAGTTGGCTGATTATGGGGTGAGTCCTCTCTAAAAAAGACACCCCCCCCCCCCAAACTCTCTCTCCTTGTTCTTCGATGTTGAACTTTAACCCTAACTTCAGGTCGTGCACTGAGGCATTCTGGGTAATCAGAACCACCTCTCAGTTTCATGTTTGAAGTTTTAGTCAAACCTTAAAATCAGAGTTTTGTTTCCCTTTACTGAGATTCACACACACACACACACACATGCCTGGTGTTTATTTCATTATGGGTCGCCGTGGTAACCAGAGACAAAGAGACAGGAGTCGTGTTACTGTGAACATGTGGCTGCTACTGCTCTGTGTGTGTGTGAGTGTGTGTGCGTGTGTGTCTGTGTGTTAATATGATCCTTCATACTTTGAATATTACAACCCTCAGGAATCTGTACCCTCATACCTCCTGTCAGTACTGCAGTACTACTCTAACTGATACTTTTATTTTGAAAAGTTTTGTAGTTCAGGAAGTTTACTGTGTATTTTTAATGTGTTTAAATCGGGCAGCGTGAAAACAAGTGAATCTCCACGCCGTCAATCAACAGACCACGGTGCAGTTTTAACCTCAGGACAGAGGTGAGTGGACAGACAGCTGTTCCAACTGTCCAGAGAGTGATGGACGATCAGTCCTTTTGACTGAATCATTACAACCCACTCATTAAAACGATTCGTTCAAAAGATTTGTTCTCTGAATCACTCAGTGCTTCGGAGCCCCGAGTGAGTGACACAGCGGCGAGTTCGTTCATTAGCCCCTCCCCTCCCCTGCTGCTGGAGTCACAGCGTCGTTCTCTGGGTGACTCATGTCGTTCATTCGCCAAGTCCTGAAGGAAGAATCACTCCCCCGACCTGAAAAACTCACCTCTCTGTGTGTCGCCGAGCAGCACGCCACTAAACGAGCATGAGTCGTCGTTCTTTTATATTGTAGAAAAGTGGCGAGATTAAAAATAAATAAAGATGTCAGCTGTAGCGAGGATTCAGATACTTTAAAGAGAAATCAAATATCGTATTTCTTTAAATCGTCTGCAGGAAGTGAATGGCGCTACACCCCTCCCTCCTCTGCCTGTCTCATGTCGTTCAGAAGTCGTTCATTTCTTCACAGTCTGACTGATACATGTCGCTCATTCGCTGTGAGTGAATCACGAGACTCCGCCCACCCGCACGCTCACTCGCTTGCTGGCTGTGTGTCGTTCGCCAAAGAGTCAAAGGCGGCAGTTCCACTCCTGACCGGCACGCCAGGCTCGCGGCTGAGCTCAACTGAACTGAGAAAAGAACGAATCAGGTCTCAGAGTGATTCGGTTCACGTCGTTCACTCAGCAGTTCGGTTCTTTTGAACGAGTCGTTCATGAACGACACAAACGTGAAGTCCAGCAGTGATCAGCTGATCCCTGAGTCTTTAGACCTCCTTATTCCTTGTTTCCTCTCCTCAGATCCTTGTTCCTCTGGAAGAGTGACTCAGACGTGGTGAACACCTTTAGTTTCCTGTTCTGTTGGCCCGGTTCTGTCTGCCTGTGTCTCATCAGTTTGGCTGGTTTCTGTGTCCGTTTGGACCGCTGCTGTCTGAGAGCTCTTTAGGTTCGGTATTTGTCGGTGTTCAGGTCCTCGTTTGTCCCGTCTCTGCTGTGTCTCCGTCTCTTCAGCTTTTGTCTTTCAGTATTTTCTGAATATTTCAGGAAAAATTCACCAACTGTAAATCTTTGAGGTGAGGGAGAGGATGGAGCCTTTCTCCTGTGTGTGTGTGTGTGTGTGTGTGTGTGTGTGTGTGTGTGTGTGTGTGTGTGTGTGTGTGTGTGTGTGTGTGTGTGTTGAAGGATCAGGTTTTGGACATCAGATCAGATAGTTTTGTCTGCTAGCTTGTAGCTTCTTGTCTGAACCTGAGGGAAACACTGCGGGTATTGTTGCCGAGCCTGTCAGGACGGACTCGGGTTACGTTAACACACACCGACACAAAGCTCGGCGGCGTATCTCCAGAGGACATTGGTCATGTGACCACAGAAATAATAAAGCTGCTCTCTGCTGCTGCTGTGGGAAAATCCCGCTCCGTGATGGACGCCACATAACTCGATAATGTGGCTAATTCTGCGCCGCCCGCTAACTCGGGTTCAACAGAGAGGTCGTTAAAGAGTCACAGGCATCAGGAGTGAAGCTGTGTTAATATGTGTTTGACCACTAGGGGGCAGCACGTACTGAATGGATGGATCTGGTCCATATCTCTGTCCCAGAATTCGGGTATCCATGTGGTTCTGGGTCGGTCCAAGTCTTGACCAAACCTCTGTGGGATTTAAGACCTGGTTTAGTCCTGGTTTAATCCTGGTTTAGTCCTGATCTAGTCCTGATTTAGTCCTGGTTTGGTCCTGGTTTAGTCCTGGTTTGGTCCTGGTTTGGTCCTGGTTTGGTCCTGGTTTAGTCCTGGTTTAGTCCTGGTTTGGTCCTGGTTTAGTCCTGGTTTAGTCCTGATCTAGTCCTGATTTAGTCCTGGTTTGGTCCTGATCTAGTCCTGATTTAGTCCTGGTTTGGTCCTGGTTTAGTCCTGTTTTAGTCCTGGTTTGGTCCTGGTTTAGTCCTGATTTAGTCCTGGTTTGGTCCTGGTTTGTTCCTGGTTTAGTCCTGAATTAGTCCTGGTTTTGTCCTGGTTTAGTCCTGATTTAGCCCTGGTTTGGTCCTGGTTTAGTCCTGGTTTAGTCCTGGTTTGGTCCCATATTCAGGACTGTAGTAACTCTGTTTGGATCAAAGGTTTTGGTCCAGAATAAAGGTTCAAGGTTCGGCCTGATGGTGGTTTTTAGGCTGAATTTGGGTCCAGGAGTCTCTGCTGGTCTTGTCTTTGGTTTGGTCCTGATTTAGTCCCTGGTTTAGTCCCTGATTTAGTCTTGTTTGTTGCAGATCTAAACCTGGTTTTCATGGTTTTAACCTGAATTTTAAGGTGATTTTTTCAGTAAAGTTAAAGTCTGAGTTAAGTTCAGACTTAAGTCCAGGTTTGGGCTCATGTGGATTCAGTCTTTGACCCCAGATCAGGATTCTGTGTTGGTTTGGATCTAGGGCCGGGCGATACGTGAAAAAGTTTATTAATATTATGTCTTTTCCAACACAATAATCTCCTGCATCTGTGAGGTCTTTGTGTCTCTTTGGCGTTTTGTCGTAAGGCGTCGCTCTAGAGAAAGCTGACTGAATGGTCGTCTGTTTCAGGCGCCATGGGCTCCTCGCTCCTCTCGGGGTTTGTAACCTTTTGCGTTGCGCATGCTCTGCGGCGTGGCGCTGCTTCAGGTGGTGAAAAAGATTTGAGGTATTCCCCGACTTTGTACTCGACATAATTTACAGTCCACATTACTCTGCTTCATGTCCGACCTCCAAAAACCAAAATACCTCCACACCACCGACGTTTTCCTAACGCCAGTGTTGTGGTTGACATTGATGTGGTCATCTTTTCTCTGATGAAAGATACATTTTATATTTTGGTCTCTGAGGTTTCAGAGGGAAACAGAGCGAGTGTTTAATTTTCCCCCATAAAGGACTAAAACCTGGACCGGGTTCAGGTGAAGCAGACTGATGGCGTTTGTTTTGGGCTCCTGTCTTCGCTGTAGACCACCTGAGCAGGATAAAGGTTCTCCGTCCGTGTTCATCTGAACTTTAATCTGTCAGCAGGTCGGCCTCCTTCGGCCCGCTCTGTCAGGAAGGCTGACGAACGACCTCGACCCGTCCCCGTCATCACGGGACCTGGATCTAATCCACCTGACCTTCACAGACCTGCTCAGATTAAACCGTAAATCACAGCGAGGCATGCTGGGAGCTGTGACATCACAGGTGTGGACGGTGAGATAAATGTGAGAGACGGGAAGCAGCTGGACGGAAAAACGGGAGAGAAAGAGGGGCGGCTGTCGGACGGACACCTGTTCAGGGTCTCTCTGAACCAGATCCATCTGTGAAAACTGGAATCTCAGCGAGTCCTTCAGGTCCAGAGAAATGTCTCCGTACAGGATACGAGACCCGGACCGACGAAATAATCCTGAGAATTTACCCGCCAAGTTTTTTAATCTTTACAGTCGTGGTTGACGATCTTCAGTTAAAAAAAAAACGGAGCCGTTGAGGCAGATTTGAAAAAAGTGGAGCAGGAGTTTGACCAAAAGGAGCTGTCTGGGATGGATGGCTCCCATTGGTCAATGTTTTTGCAGCCCTGCACCTGATAGGGTGAACAGATTTTTTCCAATCTTTTTTCTCTTCACTTTGTGGAGATCGAACTATAGGACTATGATCGCCATAGAAACGAGGTTCATAATAATGACCAGTGTCTCCAATCATCAACCAGGACT